GGGGGGGTGGTGCGAGGGGGTTTTTTTCCTCGTCGGGGGGGGGGGGGGGGGGGGGGGGGGGGCGGGGTGCAAAATTTCTACTCTATACACTTCAACACTCCTTTCAGATCGTGTTTCACAAAATGTATAAAATCAGAAAATGAACATGAAAATGAAAATTTCTCAATCGTCGAATATCATCATCTTACTGAACTTGGTCTTATTCAAACTCATGAAGATTATGTTGAAGAATTTTTACTTGATATAAAAACACGTTTGCCAAATGGTGTTCATCTTCGTATTGATTATCAACTATTAAAAAAAGTGACAGACAATTTTCAAAGAGATGCAATAAGAATTAATTGTTCAAAAATAAATTATTTCTATCAGACTTATTAATCAACTTCCAAAAACATTTCAAAGACTATGCTCTTCAAACAGATGTCATTTGTTTTTGATAATAATTATCTATGATTATTTTGAATAAAATTGATTTCTGCAGAATAAAATTATTTGAATAGACAGGAAAGTTATATAACATACAGAATAATATGTGATTCGTGCAAAAAATAATTAAAATAAAGTTTATCTATTAAGAAAAAAAAAACATATTGAGAATAATATCTCAATCTATTTATTTTCTATCATGTGGTACGAAAAAGACGTTTTCGAACTGAACCATGAGTAGAAGATGAAGAGTTTGAGAAAAAAATTTGATAGCACATTCCGTCTTGAGTTTAAAGCGTGAAAACACCGAATAACTACTTTATTAGCAGAAGGATAGATTTAGTCTTAGTTGTCAATATAAACTTACAATTGTTAGGATGTCAAAAAACTATACAATATTCTTTATTTTTCAGATGGGTCGACGAGTTCCAGTCTAGTTGGACTTGATGACTTGTTCTAAGCGATTTCTATTACGAAGTGAATTATGAAAAATATTTTTGTTTTGTTGTTTGGGAACGCCATTCCAAAAATAGAATAAGAGTTTCTTGGACAACTCAGCCCTTAAGGGTGTGGGTGTGGATGGTTGTGAGTGAAAGTGGATTGTCTATGCTCTCGCCTTGCATCCTCAAGAGAAATCTCTCATATACTAAGTTGTTTTGTACGATAATCGAAAATCAGAGTAAGAATCTTTCTAATTTCTGCATTTCGAACATAATTTTGTTTTCTTACGGGTGCCTTATTATTATTTTGTATAGTTGCTATTCGCTCATCATCTTTCATTTTTTTAATTCGTTTTCTTAATTCAACATTCTTTTTATAATAATCATTGAATTAATCGGCAAATAAATATATTTTACATATGATATCTACAGAAAATCTTACGCACTATTATATATATATATTAATCAGCTCACAGACAATGATGTTGATTATCTTTCAAAATTATAACTTGATCAATTTTTCAAAACAACTACAAAGTCTGACGCCTGTTATTCTTGATTGCTAAAGTCTGTAATGGGGAGTTGTTTGTAATGGGGGCTTCCGTTGCTAAGTGTCTGTAATCGAGGTAGGTGAGGAGAGAGGAAGCCGCGAAAACTTGAACTTAAAACTTACACTATTTTCTTCGAAAATATGTGAGTTCCACAAAATATATACAGGGTAGAGAACATAATGTATTAATATATTATTGTAATGGTTGAAAAGAAGAAAATAATTGAAAACTTATAACTTCAATTTCGAA